TACCTTTCCTAAAGGAATTTGGTCAACTTCCTTTCCAAATTATCTGTTCTGATTATCTCGTTTGAGTTTAAAATCCTTCATGTTGTCATTTACCTTTTTTTCTTTTGTTGTTCGCAATAAGAGAAAGAAGTCTTAGAATCTACTCTATCAAATATAAGTCTATAGTTAATGCAGCTTAGAGCTTATTTGTGCCCCATTTTTGGTGTAGAATGTATTTTGAAATGGCAGATTGATGGAGAATGTGTGGTTAAAAAATAAGGAAACTGTAGAGAAATTGAATGTTTATTTCTCGAATAATTATACAAAATCACTAGTTACAATTTATAACACAAAGGAGGTTATAGAAAATGAAACTTCTAAAACTAGTAAGAAATCAAATACTATACTATATACAACACTAATTATGGTAAGGAAATAATCTTAAATCAATGGAGCCTAATTTTTTCCTTCCTCCTTATTTGATATAATCCGGTCTTCCACAGAAACGTTTTGGGTTTGCGTGTAATTTTATTTTATTGAAAAATGTATGGTTGAAAAGAGAAGAGAGAAAAATGTATTTTGGAAATAATGAGGATCAGACAAAGGCTTAGTTTGGTTTTTCATTTAATAATTAGTATAGAAATACTTATACTAATTATTTGAAAATCATAATTCTTTAAAATTCATTTTCAACCACATATTTTTTCAATAAAATAATTTTGGATGTGGATGCATAACTTTTCCTTACTTTTTAACCAAATATTCTCAAAAATGAAAAATCAATTTTCACTTCAAATAATCTCTCCCCAACAAATGCTAAATTCACTCATTTTAAACAACTTGCTTCTTGTACTATCTAAAATGCTTTTAAATTTCTTTCACAGGCGGACAAATGGAAGAGCAGGTGTTGGGTCCCCCAGTATGGCTTCTGGTGAAAATGAAAGAGAAAAGCAACATGGTGATAATGAGAAGGAAGAATCATTTGACAGTGGGGATGGTAATCACAGTCCTATGTCATCTCCTGTCACCTTTGGGTCTGCAGGTGAGCAGGCTGTGAGTGATAGGGGTAATATTGACGATGATTTGGTAGTGGATGATGGAAGCTTTGAAATGGAAAGGGAGGAAATGGCTTTGGATGCAACCACAAAAATTGATGTGCAGGAAGAGGAGAATTCAATGCATTCTACAAAGAAACAAGCACAAAGTTCACGAGTGGAAGAACCTTCCCAAGAAAATGATGGTGGAGAAGACTCAAAGGCTGCAAGAAGTAGTGAAAACAGCAAACCAAGATCAGAAAGTAGTAAAGATTATCAGAAGTTCCATGACAGTGTTGAGGACGAAGTTCTTCAGGATGATCGCTCTTTGGGCACTGATAACATCAGGAGACTGGTGGTATATGAGGATAATGAATATAGGAAAGGTCATCGTGACAGACAAGAAATGAGAAGACACCGCATGGCTGTGAAAGGGGGAGAAGATTCCTATGCACGTAGAGGTGTGGATCCTAACTCATTGGTTCGGAGGCATGTGAAAAGTGAGAGTATAGACCGACGAAATGAAAATGATGTTTCTGAAGGAGGCTGGCATCGAAGAGATGAGGATATATATGGGAGAAGGATGAGACTCAATGACACGAGAAACGGGGAGCATGGTGGTGAAATTGGGTCCAGGCATCGGAGCAAGGTTAGAGAAAGTGAGAGGGGTGAAAAACATGAGTATCAACAGCCAAAAAATCAGTTAGACAATAGCAGCTGGAGGGGAGATAATCCTGATAAAGATTTGGGATCAAAACAGAGAGAGAGGATTGATAATTTCAAGAGACGGAATGAAAAAGTGGATGATCTTCACAGCAATAGAAGTAAGGAAGAGGTACCTTTAAGTAGGGAATACACCGAAAATGAAGGAATCTCGCATAATCATAGAGAAAGTAGCAGCCGGCGGAAGAGAGAAAGGGATGATGGCTTGGATCAGCGAAAAAGAGATGACCAGGCCAGATTGAAGAATGACGATCTACATTATGTTAGATTAAAAGAAGAAGGATCATTTCAGAGGGAGAGGAATGAGAGGCAGAGAGAACGTGATGAATGGCATAGGCTTAAACCGTCCCATGAAGAAATTTTATCAAGGAGAGAGAGAGAAGAAACACGGGCAGGAATGAGAAGTGCGCGAGGGGCTGAGGACAAAACATGGACCAGTCATTCTAGAGGGAGAGATGAATATAAGGGATCTGGTAGAGAGCATTACTTGAAGGATATCGGGCGGCAGAGTGAGCAACTTAAGAGAAGGGATCGAGCTGAAAATGACAGTCTTTCACAACATAGGGGTTATGAAGATGTTTATGCACGTGTGAATCAACTCAGTAATAATGAAAAAAGAACAAGACATGAAAGGTCTACAACTCATGAAGAACGAATTGCCTTTGCTTCTGACAATTCTAGGCTGCATGAAAACAAACACAAAGAGAGCAGTAGAAAGAGTAAAGAATATGAGAGCGGATATCATAATTTCTTGGTCCCTTCTAAGAGGAATCAGGATGAGCACAGTGGACAGAGAAGTGAGATGGTATGTCTTTCTTTAGACCCAATATAATAGCATTCCATGCAGGCATAGCTTCCAGTAGAAACTCTAATTATGCAATGAGTTAATACTCCCAACTTACATAAATTGTATAACTAGTAATATTTTGATTATCTAGAAATTGAAAAATTGGTTTGATATTTGCTGACCTGGTATTCTGGTTTTCATATATGCTTGCCTGTGTGTTTTCCCCCCCATTTTTGTGGGGGTGGGGGTTGTGTGCAAAGGGTATATAGAAAGGAAATCTGTATTCACGTGACTGTTTTTCACGGGGTGCCTTTCTTCTTGACACATAAAAGGAACACTGTGCGGCAGTAGTCTGTTTCGCTAGACTACCTTCTGCCTTTTCTCGGTCGCGTCGGGACGAAAGAAAATTTGATTACAATTTTGTAGAAAGCTTACAATAGAGAATTTGAATACATTGAAAATAAATTGAATATTGATTGATGAAAACTGAACATTACAATTGATAAAAGCAGAAAATTACAATTGCTGGTGTAGGGGGTGGACACCAGTGAGCTCGAAAGATTTTTGAATGACTAATACATCCTATAATAGCATTTTGAACAAAAATCTAAGTGACAGGAGTAGACGTTTAAAAGATGAGGAATCATACTAAACGTTTACCAATATGAAAGTTATTTTACAATTGAAATAACTATTACAATGAAAAGAAAATTACAACTCAAACTTGAAGTAATATTTACAATGTGCGGCCGAAGTTGGGCAAACTGCGGCTGCGATAGTGTCAAGGGGCTAAGTAAAGCTGCAGTCCTTGACATTCTCTCCCATTTGTTTTGGCGACGTCCTCGGTGCCATCAATGCATGATATGCTTTAATTAATGGTTTGAAAGCTCCAAGATCTTTTTCTCTTTCCCAAGTATTTTCCTTGCTGCTGTATCCCATCCATTTGACCAAGTACTCCTGATGATCTTTTCTAGAAGCTCGAGTGATTCGATGGTCAAGAATAGCTTCAGCAACCTTCTTTTCAGCTTTCTTCAGTTCAAACACAGGTTGCTTTGGCTCATGTCTAGATGCGTCCTCCTTATCCGCAAAGTATGGCTTCAACACACTAACATGAATGACCTTGTGGATTTTACACCATGAAGGGAGTTCAACTCTGTATGCAACTCTTCCAATTCTCTTCATGATAGGTAATGGTCCAATGTATTTTGGCGACAATCTTGAGTCCTTCCCTCTTGTTTGTAAACATTTCTGTCGGGAAGTTTAACCATTACCAGATCTCCAACATTAAATTCAATGAAACGACGCTTTAGATCTGCAGCCTTTTTATACCGTTTTTGAGCTTTCTCAAGATAACTCCGAGCAATTTCAATATTTCGTTTTCACTTTTGAGAAAAGTTCTTTGCTTGAGGGGACTTGGTACTTCGTTCGATATCCACTGTATGAGGGAGTAGCGGTTGCTGGCCAGTAACAATCTCAAAATGACTCTTATTGGTAGAAGAGCTCTTTTGGGTATTGAAGCAAATTTGGGCCGCATCCAAAAATTTTATCCAGTTTTTCTGCGAAGTAGAGATAAAGTGTAGAAGATATTCTTCTAGCATAGAATTGAAGAGCTCCATCTGTCCGTCAGATTGTGGGTGAAAATTAGAACTCATGTTCAAAGTTGAACTAAGAAGTTTGACCAACTCAGTCCAAAATATGCCAGTGAAACGAGGATCTCGATCACTGACGATGTCGTTAGGTAGCCCCCAGTATTTGACAATATGTTTGAAGAAGAGTTGAGCTGTCTCTTCCGCAGATACATACTTAGGCGCTACAATGAAAGTTGCATATTTTGATAGATGGTCCACCACGACGATGATAGTGCCAAAATTTTCAACTTTTGGCAACCCAATAATGTAGTCCATCGATACACTTTCGAATGGTCGGGTTGGGACAGAAAGGGGCTCCAGCAAGCTCGCCTTTTTCTGATGATCTGCCTTATCTTGCTGACAAATGAGACAGGTTTTTTCATATGTTGCAATGTCGTCCCGCATTTGAGGCTAGTAGTATGCACGTTGCAGTAGTGCACAAGTGCGTTCCTCTTCAGGATGCCCTGCCCAAATTGTGTCATGGCTGTAATTAGTGATTTACTCAGATCTCCGTCCTTAGGAACATATAGGCGGTCTTCCTTTGTCTTCACTAGTTCCCCATCGAGCTAGAACTGTCGAGTTTTACCTTACTTGATGAGGTTGACCAAATATTGGGTAGCCGGGTCCTTCTCCATAAGTGCCCGAATTTGGTTTCTAGTGTTTGTGGAGACTGCGCTCCCTGAAAGAGCAGCTACGGAGCAAATGGCAGCTAAATCGGCCCGTCGACTAAGAGTATCAGTAACATGATTACTAGAGTAGGGACGATACCTAAGAAGCACCGACACGGACACTGTGTCGGACATGCCGACACGCGATTTTTTTAAAAAGTTCCGACACGACACGTCGCCGACACGTTGATTAAAAAATTTTTTTTGTTTATTTTAATTTTATAGTCTAAAGTATTAATTTTGTGTACTTATTTAATCATATATATAATGATAAATAGAAATCAAACTTGACATTAAATTCATCAATGTTTCTTAATGACATAAGTTCAAAAAGTAAAAATGAAATTAATTACATCATTCATCTTGAATCTCTTCAACATCTTCATCTCCATCAGCAAATACCATCGCTTCCAATTCCGGTTCGTCTAGAGATAAATTAGCGACTTCAAGCACACCAATATCTTCAAATGTATCAAATGCATCTCCACCGATATCCCACATTTTAGTCTCTCCTTGTGAGTATTGCGCACTCCTCCTTGACAAGAGACGAAGATTGCTATGGACGAAAATCAAATCTTCCGCACGTTTTGGAGTTAGCTTATTCCGTTTAAGAGAGTGCAAAAAGGAATAAGTACTCCAATTTCGCTCACAACACGATGAAGAAATGGTTGCCCCAATAATCTCAAAGCATAACTTTGAAGCATAGGCGTGCAAGCACCATAAATAACCCACCAAGTCTTTGGGTCCAAGCGGTAACGATCATGGATGGATTCAAAATCACCAAAGTCATCTTCCATAGTTGAGAATTTGGCATACTCCTTATTCACCATAATACGCTCTTCATTTGACAAGTACCTCTTAAAACATTTTATTCTTTCTCTTGAAATCTCTACATCTCTATGTGGAGCAAGTCGAGTGGGATCCTCATTAAGCCATTCCTCGCTATAGTACCTAAACAAGAGGAAAAAAATAAAAAAATGACAATTCATTCAATAACTAACTAAACATATTAAATATTATGATAATGTAAATAAACATTAAATGTATGAATTAAATTTAAAAATTACCTTGGATTTAGGGAATGAGACAAGCAATGAAGTGGAGTGTTATTTTTGTTCCAACGATCTACAAGTATCCGATGAACAACATTGTAGAATGATAATTCCTCTTCTTGAACTTTTTTCTCATTTCTATAAATTATTCCTCTCACTTTCTCAATCATTGTATTCCACATGTCGTAAACCAAGTGAAGGCAAGGTTTATCCGTATCACAAAATCTAAGCATGTCATAAATGGGAGAAGTGAAGGAAAGAACATAACTTATAGAGTCCCACCAAAGATCATCAAACACTTTCAATTTTACAAAACTTGCCTTCGTCATGTCATCTTCTCGATAAAGTGACCATTTTTCACTAATAACCAAAGCTTGAAGACCACGTTGAATAAGCTTAAATCTTTTTAACATGGCAATAATAGAAGCAAATCGTGTCTTCGCTACGGAAAGCAACTTCAAAGGCACAAATTCATTAAACATTGCTAGTCTCATGGAATGGTTCATGATAAAATTTTTTATAATCATTACATCATCATGAAGATTAGTAATCCAATTGCATTCCTCATATGTAATCAAATTATTTTCAACATTCTTTGCGGCACAAATGTTCTTCAAAGCAAGATTTAGTGTGTGTACAACACATGGTGTCCAAAAAATATGAGGATACTCCAATTCAATTATTTGTCCGGCACCTTTGCAATTTGGAGCATTATCGGTTATTACTTGAACCACCTTTTGATGACCAATTTCATTTATAACCTCCTTCATCAAGTTAGCAATAAAATATTTATCTTTTGTTTCACCGGAACAATCAACCGCTTTTAAAAACATTGGTCCACTCTCGGTCACCGCCATAAAATTAATTAGTGGTCTTCTTTGTGGATCACTCCATCCATCACTTACAATGGTAACTCCTTTTTCCACCCATGTGCCTTTAATTGGATTTAATAATCTTTCCACATTTTTTTTCTCTTTTTGAAGAAGAGTAGTTCTCAACTTGTTGTAACTGGGAGGCAAATATCCCGAAATTCGACTATTGGAAGCAAGAGTATAAGAACTAATGTAATAAGGATTTCTTGCAAGAGTAAAAGGCAAACCACTTGAATAAAACATTCTAGCAATTTCGAAATCCAATTGGTCACGTGTTGTCACATTAAAAGCATTTTCTATTGCACTATTCTTTCTTTTCCTTTCCTCCAAAACATAACAATCCTTAGAACCCATATTATTCGATGGCAATGGCACTCTTTTCCCCGCTTTAGTTTGCATTCTCAACTTGGCTTCATCTTCCATTTTTTGCATTTCACATATATCTTTCATAGTTACTTTTCCACAAGCCCCAATTCCATAGCCTTGTAATTTTAACAAATGTGCCTTCACTCTTGTGTAAGAACTTGTCTTAGTTGCATTACAAAAATTACATTGCCAAATAATGTTACCATCCTTTTCATTAAATTTATCAAGTTTTGTAACCTATTTCCAAAGAGGTTTAGACAAATCATCATTCATAGCATTATCACTCATAACTTCAAAAGAAAAATAATTTCAAATACTTAAGTAAAATAGGAGTGATATTACCCGAAACTTGAAAAAATATCTTCTTCTTGATCTTGCAAATGATTCTTCAAATGTGGATTGATGAAATTTTTGAAAAAGATGAAATAACAAAAAAAAAACTTGGATGTTCTGAAATTTTCGCAAGTTACTGACTGAGGAAGAAAATGTTTGTGTTGTTATATAAGTTTGATTTGTTGTTGAAGGGTAAAATGGTACAAATTGATCAAATAAAGTATTGTACATTATTTTATAAAGAATTACATCCATTCAAAAGATACAAAACGTGTACAAAAGGAGAAAATTTACAGTGGTGGGCCCACAAATTGAAATTTGCTTTGATAAATCATGACTTTTCATTTCATTTCAGCCGTCTCTTCTCTCTTTCTTTATGTCTATGCCTGACAATCAACAGGTAACAAGTTCTTCCTCTTCCTCTTCCTCTTCTTCTTCTTCTTCTTCTTTTTCTCTTTTTTCTTCTTTCTTTTCACTGGTTTCTTTTTTTCAGCCCACCAAAGCCACACGACTCCGTGACTCTGACACGCGTTGGCGACGTGTCGGACGCGTGTCGGTGTCCGACACGAGTCGGACACCGGTACGTCGTCGTCGGGAGCGTGTCAGCACTTCTTAGGACAATACTCTAACATAAAATTGAACTCTGAAAGGAATTCCTGTCAACGTGCCTGTTTGCTCGATAGTTTTGGTTGGAACATGAAGTGACTAACTACAATATTATCCGCCTTCATAATAAATGGAGACCCAAGCAGATAGTGATGTCATCCTCCGAGACAATGGACTACTGCCAACAATTCCTTTTCATGTGCCGAATAACGACGTTCTGTCTGGTTTAAGTTCCGGCTCTCATATGCTACCGGATGTCCTTCTTGCATGAAGACTCCACCAAGTGCAAAATCTGAAGCATCTGTATGAATTTCAAATGGTTTAGCCATATCCGGTAAGGCTAAAATCGGGTTCGTCCACATAGACTTCTTCAACCTTTTAAAACCAGCTTGGCATTGGGATGACCAATCTCAATCCTTATCCTTCTTTGTCAATTCAGTAAGTGGCAGTGCAATTTCTGAGTAACCTTTCACAAATCTTCGATAGTAATTGCATAACCTAAGAAATGAATGTACATCATGTACGATTTTTTGTGGTTGCCAATCTTTGATGGCTGTAACTTTCTTCGAATTCATGCGGATTTTACCTTGTTCAATAATGTGATCCAAGAAACTGATAGATGTCCGAGCAAATGAGCATTTCGACGACTTAGCATGAAGTTCATTCTCCCGTAGCCGATTAAAAACTTGCCTCACATACTGGACATGTTCCTCCAATGTCTCGCCGTAGATTACTATGTTTGCCTCTTTCAATGGGACATCATCATTTTCAGCAACTCGATGCGACAGTGTGTTGCACCGATGTGAAAATGCCCCAACTACGTCCTCATCCTCTTTAGAGTCGGTCTCACTATGATAATTAGTCTGCGGGGCCTCTTGCTTTGAACTTGACCTGCCACTTGCTAACTGACAATATGCATTCACCATCCGTTTCTGAGGACACTCCGACACCCGATGAGGTCCTTCATATAAAAAGCACTTTAATTTGGGAGTGGCATCAGTTCGGCCCTCCATTACTTTTCCTTTGTTACAGTTGTTACTGTTGCTGCCGTTAAAATTTTCTTGACGGCTATTATGATAGTTTCCCTGAAAGTCACGGGTGCTTTGATAGGCTCTTTCTCTATTCTGAGAGTAACACTCTCCTCCATTTTGGTTCGAGCTGGGTCTGTAAGATCTGTTACCACCTCCAATTGCTTGATTACTCCTCGAAGGTTGATCTTTTCTAGATTCTGTTTGGTAGTCGCTCAAGCATTCAGAGGCTCCCATGGCCGTGCTCAAATCAGTGACCTTCTGTCTTTGAAGTTCCGTGCGTGTCCACGGTTTCAACCCTTCCATAAAGGTGAATAGCTTATCCTTTTCCGACATATCTCGAAAATTCAGCATATGCCCTGAGAAGGATTTCACATACTCCTTGATACAACTCGTGTGTTTCAGGTCTCGAAGTGCTCGTCGAGCCTGATACTCGACATTTTCCGAGAAAAACTGCGATCTGATCGCTTCCTTGAGGAGATCCCAAGAATCTATTCGAACCCTGTGGGCCTGAATGTCAGCATATTTGGTTCGCCACCATAGTTTTGCATCTCCATCCAGATACATGGTAGCTGTGGTTACCTTTCTAGCTTCGTCTTCGATCGAAGCTACGAGAAAGTACTGTTCCATATCAAACAAGAAGTTTTCGACTTCTTTTGCATTACGTGCCCCTTCGTAGGTACATGGTTCAGGAATTTTGAGTCTAGGAGCATACTCAGGTACAGGAGCTTGCCATTGCCCACTGCACGTTGGAGTACCCGCAATTGAGCTCTCAACGCTTCTATTTCATCTTGCAGATCAGGAATGATTGCAGCAGTTTCAGTCATTGCTGCGTAAGCCCTTTGGCTTTCATCCAATTGGATGTGTAATCCACGAATCTCGAATTCGACCATCTTGACTTTTTCCTCGAGACCTTCCAAAGTATAGCACAACCTAGTAATTGTCTCATCAAGCGCATCCACGCGCTGTTTAGTAGTACCCTTCTTTTGAGGCTCTACCACTTCAGTGGTGTAGGATGTAATTGAATCCATAGCTTTCTTATTGAGGGTCGTGAGCCGCAGCTCTGATACCAACTTTTACGGGGTGCCTTTCTTCTTGGCACAGAAAGGGACATCGTGCGGCAGTAGTCTACTCTGTTAGACTACATTCCGCCTTTTCTTGGTCGCGTCGGGATGAAAGAAAATTTGATTACAATTTTGTAGAAAGCTTACAATAAAGAATTTGAATATATTGAAAGTAAATTGAACATTGATTGATGAAAACTGAACATTATAATTGATGAAAGCAGAAAATTACAATTGCTGGTGCAGGAGGCGGATACCAGCGAGTTTGAAAGATTTTTGAATGACTAATGCCCCCTATAATAGCATTCCGAACAAAAATCTAAGTGACAAGAGTAGACGTTTAAAAGACGAGGAATCATACTAAACATTTACCAATATGAGAGCTATTTTACAATTGAAATAACTATTACAATGAAAAGAAAATTACAACTCAAACTTGAAGTAATATTTACAATGTGCGGCCGAAGTTGGGCAAACTGCGGCTGCGTTAGCGTCAAGGGGCTAAGTAAAGTTGCAGTCCTTGACACTATATTAGGAAAAGGAGAATTATATACTGTTTTATAGCCCCCAAAAAAAAAAAAAAAAAGACAGCCCCTATTTGAGCCCCATTTTCTGCGAATGCATTTTGGAGAATGTGGGGTAAGAAAATTTTTGGGTTTTTGTGCAAGACTATTTTATTGGGAAAATGTGCAATTGAAAAAGAGTTTGGGGGAAAAATGAGCTTTATAGAATGACGCTCAAACATGGGCTTAATTGCTCGAGGATTATAAAAATTAGTAATGATGCCTTGGCAATCTGAGAGCTTCAAAAACAACTATCATCTCCACTTGCAGAAAACGAGAAAGCTTATCCAGTCATGTGCTGGAGTCTTTCGTCCTCATGTTTTAGGTATTTCAAAAGCAACCTGACCTTCTCTCTCTTTCTCTCTCTCTCTCTCTCTCTCTCTCTCTCTCTCAATGGTATCGGTTTTGTGGTTCCTGTTTGCTGAAAAAATAGCTATTCATGTATTTGTCAATATGACATACCAAAGATATGCAGTTAATCATCTCTAGATATGAGACGTCTTTAAATTTATACACACTGGATGTTACATTCATATCATAGACGAATGCATTTGACCTGCCTATTCTTCGAAACAGATGTTTCATAACTTGCTAGACTAGCTTCCGATCACACAATACATTTTAGGCTTATACTTGATATGAAGTGTATTAGGATAGTAGTAAACATGTATCCCAAAGATGCAGTGCTTGAATTCAAGAAAAAACATTGTCATGCACTTGGGTTCATATTTTTGTGTTGTCTTTAAATTGCAGTTTGGCTCTCAGAAGTCGGTCAAGAACTTCTGACAATACTATTACGAGTACCTTTAGAATCTCTATGAAGCGAATACTCTTAGGCCCTGTTTGAGCCGCATTCTTTTAAAAAAAAATATTCTTAAATAATGATTTGACATCATTTCAACCACACATTCTTCAATACGCAAATCCAAAACTTTTCTTCATTCTTTAACCACATATTCTCCATCAATCTACTATTTCAAAATACATTTTTTCAAACTAATGTGTTAGCCACACACCATCTCTTACCTTAATTGAATTTCAGAAGATTATTGGTTAGGAGCATATCCATTTGGGAAAATTGCAGTCGAAGTATCAAACCTTTCGTTTATTAGCAGACTTTGCCCAAACCTTTGATTTGTGCCACCGTGAGTACCAAACCTTTAAAAAATATGCAGCTCAAGTCCAAAATGACGGTTTCCGTCTGTTTGACCCCAAAATCCGTCAGTTGACCCCAGAAATTAAAAATCTGATTATTTTTCCCAAATACAGCAAGGCAATTTGGACATATCACATTTTTCCTATTAAATTAAAAATTAAAAAAGCAAAAAGAAAAACCATAACCCCCCCACCCCATCTCCTCCTTCCCCAACCCTCCCCCCCAACCCCATCTCCTTTTTCCCCAACCCCCTCACAATTGGAGCATAATTCCGATGACTTCCGACCACCTAGACCACCGAATATTGGTACCGTCGGAAAGCCCTTGACCTCCTCTTCAATTAACACCGATCATCTCCCCATAAAACCAGTGGATTCAGTCGCAATTAATCAACAAAGTCAGCTGATAAAACTGTCGGAATCACCACCTCTGGTCATCTCCTTGATCGGAACCCAATGCAAGTCGATTGCCC